TCCAAGAGGTTCTACAGCTGTGATGCTTCAGGTTCTACAGCTGTGATGTAGGATCTGGCTGCAAGGTGGATGTGTGCTCTTAACCGCACCACACACTCTATGCCCAGAGAAGGATGTGGCCCTCCCTATGCTGGGGATCAGTATGTATTAAGGCATGTTTATAGGAACACATTTGCCTATTCATGGGGTTGCAAGAAGATCATTGTTGATGGAAGATTACTTTGGAAATGAGAGTACAAGATGTCAGGCTGGAAAGCATCTCAGAGGACCTTGTTTGTTTTCCATGCTAACGTCCTTAGAATTTGGCTTGAGAACGAGGGTGGTGGGGTGTCACTGGGCAAAGGAGTACACATTTGCATTTAGAACAGTTATTTTGAGGACTGTGGAAAATGCATTGGCATTGGCATGGAACAGTATGGAAGACAGAGGCAGGGAGCCAGCTTGGAAGTCTGGCAGTGGTTCAAGGGATAAGGGTGAGGGTGTAATTCATTCATTTAAAACTATTGAATAGGTTAGCTTAACAAGATTCCTCTGTGGCTAAAGAAAGAGATAGGAATCTAACTTGATATATGGGTCCAAGTCTGACTGACTAGTAAAATATTTTAGGGAGGTGAAGATTGGGAAATACAGTGTTATATAATTTGGGGAAATTATTAGTTTTTAACTAATTGTAGTAACTCACTGGAGTGCACAACAGACCATTGAGTAAAGTCTACAGTTGAGAGGAAAGGTGGGGACTGTTTGAGTAAGAAAATGTGCTGATTGTTAAAACTAATGGAGTAAGGGGGAATACTTGGCAAGAGGTTCCTGGTTGTTAGCATGATAGCAATATGCAGGCATGGCACTGAAGCAGTAGCTGAGAACTTACATGTTGACATCAGGAGGTAGAGAAATAATCAACTAGAATGGTTTGGGGTTTTGAAACCTCAAAGCCCATCCCCAGTGGCACACCTCCAATAAAGCCACACCTTCTAGTCCTTCCCGAACAGTTCCACCAACCAGGGACCAAGCTTTCAAACATAGAAGCCTGTGGAACCATTCTCATTAAAAACCACCACACATTAGGAACACTAATATTTAGTAAGAGCCACAGACTAGATTTTGAAAGGTAGAGCAGGGTGGAGGAAATTTTCTAATCAAAAGGATTATTAACAATGGAGGGACAAAGTAAGAAGAAAAAAATGAGGAACTGCTCCCTGGATCGAGTATTATAGAGAAGTCAAGACAAAATGAACCTTGTGAAGTAGATTATTCACATGAGGTCATTGGTAATTTGAGCAAGTATTGTAGTGATGGTAGAGTAATAGGGCACAGAGTGGCGTCCTGTTGACACAGAGTTTGGGAGCGCAATGAGGTCAAGAAATGCACACAGATCATTATCTTAGGGTCCTGGGAAAGAGAGATGAGTATGTGGGGCTTTTTAAATTTGGTGCATATATATATAGAATTATTAAAAGATAACTTAAACACTCCATAAATGGAATTAGAGGGTGTGGAGGCTGGCAGCTTGTGAGTCCTCTAGATGATGGACTAGAGGCAGCCATTGAAATGAGCTCCGAGTGAAGGAATTCATTTCCGGAAGGGAGGGAAAAAAAAAAACTATGGATAATCGAGGCTGCAGGTAAGTGTATGTGGGAAGTTTTCCGAGCTTCTGGCTTCCTGGAAGGACTCAATTAAGGAGGAAGAGATGGCACCTGGAGAGTACAGGCTGAGAAGCAGAAGGTGAATTGTTTCAGAGTCATTAAAAGGGGAGAGATTTTACAAGGGATGTTTATGAACGTTAGGGGCCCAGATGAGCAGTGAGTATAGGAAAATCTCCTGTTTTCTGGTAGCAATGTACATTTTCTTAGAAACCTGCTAGGCAGGTTGATTTTCTGCCCTCCATAGCACTCTGGTTGTGCAAAAAGAGCCACACTTGTGACCTTGTGTTGTATAACCTGCTTATAGTCCCCATATGAGAATACTAAAGCTCCTCAAGATAAGTCCCACTTTTTTTTTCATTATCATATCCCTCCATCCTGTCAGTGTCTCATCTGGGTCACTCTTAACAACTACTGATTGCATGTCTTAAGTTTCTGAGCCGAGCACGTGTACTGTAACACATAGATCAGACCTCGGCTGCAGCGCAGCTGTGCTCAAGACCGACTTGGGAGGTTTCCGTTGGCGCCGTGTTCATGCAAGTTGTGACATCCAGTACTTTTGGCGTTTGATATAAGTTAATCCTCCCAGCTTATTTGGTAATTGGCCTGTAACTCTGGCATCATCCTTGGCCAAGTCTCCATGCTCTGTGGAATAGACTGCTACAGTACAGCACCTCTTATCTATGTGAATTTTCTTATGTTCATTTTTTATGGTCACTTACACCCCAGGTTAGCCGTTTTTTTCCCTCACTTTGCTATTCCATCAAGAGGCAATGGGCAATGGATAAAAGTCCCTATCAGATGATGTTACTCAGTGTTTTCAACATGTATTCACATAAAGAAGTTGAAGTTAACCTCTGGAGGGATATTTTGGGCTACTGTTGTTTACCAGTTCTTGGTGTGAAGGTTGCCTTGGTTAACCAGGTCAGATGTACTCTTCACTTTATTGACAGCAGTTATTCTGCATAAATTGCTTCAGCTCGAAAATGTCTTTACTGCAAGAATACAGTACAATGAATACCCTGTGTATTCCTCCAACTATTTCTATTCCAACAAGTTACAAAATTGTAGAGTGTTTGCCAACCACCTCATTCTTACCTGGGGTCTTCTGGGCAAAAAAAAAAAAACTCACAGGATGACTGAGCCATTCACTTGTGTCTTCTGGTGAAGAATAATTTTGAAATGACTCATAGGAATATAATTTTTAAACTTTGAAATGATTCATGCTGCTATAAAATGGACATACATCAGAATTTTAATTTTAATCCTTAAGGAACAAATCAGAAATTAGACAGAATCACTTTTGAAGGCAAATTGGTAGAGCAGACACATTTATAGGCTAGCAGGAGTGCTGAAAGCATTTATTAATGGAAGCAAAAATTGGTCAGTATTTTTGAAGTGATGTTCTTTGGAACCTTCTTCCATGAGGCATAACTTAGCTACAAAGCAAAATGTGGATCTCTATAGAAAAGTCTTGTCCATGACCCTCAATTCCAACAACTTCGACAGTGGTAGATAACCAAGTTGAAGTCAGTGGAAGCATTGCCCGTCTTGAATCTGATGATTGCAGAAGATCTGCGACAGAGTGACCAGAACCCACTGACAGGGTACACTGGGAACTTTGTCCAGTTTAAAATCCCCACAGGTATGTTCTGATACTTGCCTGCCTTTGTAGTTGTGACATCACCCGCCCCACCCCCATCTCTCTTTGTTCGATATGGCTCCTCACCGTGATGGCTCTTTCTCCAGGGAAATAACTCAAAACTCCAAGGGTGTAGAAAACATAATTGGACATTCAGGTTTGCCTGGAGCTTCCTAATATTTGGGTGGCTAAAAATCTAGAGAACTGGGAAAGGTGAGCCTTGAATGCCCCAAGGCTACTTCAAGTGGCACATTGCCAGGAACATTGAGAAGGCCAAAGTCATTACAGTAGATGGCACAGTGTCCAGTTTTATGCTGTTGCCCTGTGTTTGTGCAGCATGGTGTTGCTTAGGGAGCATTTCTTAGATGTTTTCTCCCATGGGGCTCCCCGGTGTTCTAGGAAGCCACCCACCATGTGTGCTCTGATCCTCCTTATTAAACCATGCTCTAGTAAAATGAATGACTACACCCCAGAGTGTGCCAGGCAGGGGACTGGTGCTTGAATTTTCTTGAACACAGTTCAGATTGTATTCCAGTGTATGCCCTTATATTCAACTGGATGGGTATTTATTAATAATTACACTCTTACAGTAGCATCTTATGCCCTTGTTTTTATTTCTGGTTTACATAGAAGGAGGAAGTATTAAAAATTAACAGAGTTAATGTTTTATCTTCATTGGTACTTTGGGTTTTGAAGGAAAAGTCAACAAGCTACTTCGATAAGAGCTTTGATAAACGGCCAAGTTCTCTCATACAGTTGGAGTAACTCTGCATCTTGTTTCAGTTGAATGGTGAGCCTTGCATTTACTCTGGCCATTCAGGCACCCAGGGCAAGGCTGCTCCTGGTGCCTTATGCCGTTGAGAAGAACCGATGAGTGTGCACTACGCGTTAGCAGCATCTGCTCCTGGTTTCTTCTTTCTTGGCTTTTTGAGTAGTTTATGGTTTATTGGAGGAAGAAATACCTGTAATCTGCATTTCAAAATTGTTCTGTAGATTCAATGAAATGTCGGGGTAGGAAAATGCCATTCAATTGTGTGTAATCCTTTCTGAGACTTGCATACAAAATGTCTATGACTCTCCCTTTTGCAGTGGGAAATAGCCACTGAGATCATTTTTTCCCCCTCGTTAGTATTCTGAGACTTTCCATCCTCTTGGAAAGATAAGATTTGATTCATTCGAGTTGCTTTGTATATTAAAGTATAATAGAACTGGCCACTTTTTTTTTTTTGGTTATGCAGCCTGAGTGTAGAGATAAATTTCATATCACTTTAGCAAGTTCCATCTAGAAGTGTATAGAAGTTGAGCTTGAATATAATACTTAGTTTTTTGTTCGGAATGTTCCCAGTAAGGCCAGTATTTTCCTACATATGTCAGTAAGCAGATATGATTACTTGAGAACTTTCAATACTCCTTGCATTTCCCAACACAGTTGGTGGATTTATCCCTCAAAAGCACGGTAATGTATACCTTGTATTATTAAGACTGAATAAAAAAAAGTTCCAGTCTGCCAGCTGGTGTGCAAATAACTTGTGGCTGTTTTTCACCTTGTTCCTGTCCTGCTTGTGTAAATGAACAATTGAAATATTTTTCTTTACCTTAAGGGTTTGTAATACACCTAAGATAGTATAATACACACACACACACACACACACACACACACACACACACACACACACACACAGAGATTATAATGAAATACCTATGTGTCTGATTTCCAGGTTCAGCTCAGCTACTCATACGTGAAGTCAAATCTGTAGAATACACGTCGTGCAATGAGACTGTCATCATCCCGTGCATCGTCCTCAATGGGGAGGCACAGAGCACTGAAGAAATGTATGTCAAGTGGAAGTTAAACAAAACGTACATTTTCATCTATGACGGGAGCAAAAACAACTCTACTGTAGAGACTAGCTTTGCCAGCGCAAAAATCTCCGTCTCAGACTTACTGAAGGGCGATGCCTCTTTGAAAATGAGTAAGCATAATGCCGTCGTGGGAAACTATACGTGTGAAGTTACAGAGTTATCCAGAGAAGGCAAAATGGTGATAGAGCTGAAGTACCGTATGGGTAAGTGATGCAGGCTGTCCGTTCTGAAACCTGGGTTGAAGTTCGATGGCCATTGCGGGGGGTACTATGAGGCGGGACCTTGTGGAAGTCACTATGAGGGATCAAGGCATTTCTCAGGCGGGTTGGGTGTGTCATCCAGTGAGAAGGCAAGCCTGACAGTCACATTTTTTTGTCTCTTTCGGATACACACACTCACTCTTCATTCTGCCCTTCCACTGTGTTGTGAGGTAGCACAAAGACCCTTACCAGAGGCTGGGCGGGTGCTAACACCGCGCAGTGGAGCTTCTCGGTCCCAGAACTAGGAACCAAGTTACACCTGCTCATAGATCACCTACTCCCACTACTCCGTTACAGAGGAGAAACAGACTGAGTAAAACAGTAGGTCTTATCTAAAGGCCTCCCGTGTCCTGATGAAACTGAATGCAACTATTAGAAAGAGAGCACAATAGTAACCAGATGGCTTGGTTCACATCTATTAGCCCCATCACCCAGGAGCAAGGCCAGCATCAGCTATATAACAAGTTTGAGGCCAGCCTGGGTAACAGGAGACCTCTTTTTAAAAACAGCAAAAAGTGGAGAGCAGAAAGAAGCAAAGTGAAATAGAAATTCTTTTGAACCGAAGAGCTGACCATTCCTAAATGTTGACATACTGGTTGGTGGCTTCTAGGAGTTCTGTCTTGCTTACTTCTCTGCTCTTCCCAGAAACTCTGCTTGCTTCTCCTTCTCTTGTGTGTTGTGTGGCTCCCCATCTTGGTCATAGTACTCTTCTGTTGAGGTAATAGGCGGTTCTGTTTGTTGTCATCCAAGGTACTTCACCTGAGTCTGGTGGCCCAAGACTGATCTCAGCACTACAGAGGCTGAGGCAGGAGGATTGCTACAAATTTGAGGCCAGCCTGGACTATATAGTGAGTTACAGACAACCCAGAGCTCCAGGTCATGACCCCACATCACCAAACCAAAATAATTTTTTTGCAAAAAAAAAAAAAAATGTACTTTTTTATTATTCGATTAATTTATGTAGTTCCTCCTGGTTATTTCGTCTTTTTGTGGTCTTATAGACGTCAACTGTTGCCAAGGATCAGACTGTTCTAACCACACTACCCCGGCAGGGGACGAGAAGGAGAAAGGAGGTTGCAGATTAGGTAATCATGCTGATTCCTGAGGGCTTCTGTGGCCCACCCTACCACACTTGCCAGCACACTGGGGAGGTGGGGATCCCCCCTAACCGAACTGAATTCAGTCTTGGTGATAGAGCCATGACAAGAGTCTCTTTTCGTGAATGGTTTGGTGAGTCGTGGACAGCATTGCTGTTATCTGAAGTAAACATTCTCCTTTCTTTTCTATTTTTTTTTTTTTGATGTGCTGGCTGATTAAAAAAAAAATACATACAGAGAGTCCTAACAGTTTTAAAGAGTGCACCTTGAACTCTATTTAAACCACCAGCTGTATTACTGATCTCAGGCTTGATGACACTTGGAGAACCAGCTCTGGGTGGGATCAGGGCGGCTAAATTAGGTCAGCCACTTTCCATCTGTTCTCGCTTTTCAAATGACAAACTGTCTGGTAGCAGATTGGGAGGGGAGGTTGGCTTGATTAACTATTCTGACGTAGGATTAGAGGTCAGGCAGTCTGAGTTACACACCCTATTCAGGACTCACTGTTCACCTGTACCACGGTGGAAGATACTTCACGGAGACCAAGCTGCGTGTCTCTAAAATGAGGATGGAAATCTTGTTTTCTTGGGGTGTTTGTTCTGTGTGTTTTCATTGTGCTGTCTGGAAGTCTGCTCAGAAGGGAGGGGATGGCTTAGGAGGCAAGAAGAACTTGGAAGATCCTTCTGTCAGAATCTCACACATATTGTTACTTTGCAATTGATGTTAATTTGGGTTAAAGAGCTTTCTTTTTAAATGTCTGTCTTTCAGTCAGTCAGTCAGCAGTGTGCATAGGAAGAGGTCATCCAATACCTAGTTGGAGGCTTTCTGAGAGAGTGGATAGGTTCATGGGAATAAAAGAGCCAGACAGACATAGGAACAGCGATTTTCGAGGTAATGTGGGTCACTGAGAAGAAAATGGATAAAACCCATGAGCTTGAGACTGAGACAGCCAGAAATGGAATGAAGGGAAGTGAGAAGGGGATCCCAGCATCTGAGATGCAGACAGAGTTTATTTTGTGTGTAATTGTCTTATCCTTGATTTCAAAATACCCCCACGGAACATAGAGACGGGCTTTGTCTTGTGCCATTAAGAGGAGAAAATTTTGTTGTAGGGAATGTAAAAATTCTACCAGAAGCTTGATGTTTCTGATTTTTTTCTACCTATTTTAAAAATACATACACACACACACACAGACACACACACACACAGACACACACACACACAGACACAGACACAGACACACACACACACACACACACACACACATATAAAAGAACTAGCATTACATGGGAAGAATCAGAGACAGAGAAGTTCTTGTACCCTCAGTTCATCCTCCCACAGTGGTTGCATCTTAGATAGCTGTGCCATGGTACCAGAACCAGGAAGTCCACAGTTGTCCTTGTACACAAGGTTTTCTCTCCTTTCATCACACTTCGCCAACCACCGTTGTGATTGCAGTGTGGAGCTGGTCTACCAGCACAGCACCCCAAGGCTAGCCCTTCCGTCTCTCACCATACTTTCCACCACTCCTGACCGGCAGGCACTAACGGTGTCGTCCACCTCTATGACTTGGTCAATTCAATAAAAATTCGTCACTGGAATCGTTAACAGCTGATCTTTGAAGGTGCGCCCACTCGGCACGATGCCCGTAAGACAGTGGGTTTCTTGTGTTGGACTGTGTTTTATTTGTTTGCTTGTCTGACGGTGTAACACATGTCCATAACACATCTGAACCCAGTGGGTTTTTCACTAAGGTGTAGTCTGTGGAATTCTCATAGCCTGGTTCGTCGATCACCTCTGCGAGACGCTGGGATCCTCTTCAGTTTGGGATTACCCCTTCAGTGTATGCCCGAGCGGGTTTCCAGAGCTGGTGTCCCTCTTCCCGCTGTGGTCAGCAGCGTGAGTGGCTTCGTGTCTCCGCATCTTTGCTGGGATCTGGTGCCACTGTTTTGCAGCATTTTCCCCTTTTTAAAAATGGTGGAGTTTCTTAGTTTTTAAATTAGCATGCAAGATAATTAAATATCAGCATGGCACTTTCAACGTGTGTTTTAGTAGATTCTCTTACCCCCTCCTACCCCTACCCTACTACTACTGATCTCCTCTTTGTAACTGCCCCCCACGCAGTCTCTTTACCTTTTCCAGGTCCCCTGTGTCCTTTTGCCTGCTCCCCATCCTTTCTAATCACCTATTTGTATCATTTTTTTGGTCTCTTTTGTAGCATTTTAGGCTTTACCTACATTTATACCCATACACCCACCACACACAAACCAGGCTAGGATCTGCATGGGAAAAAGAACATGTGGTTTTTTTTTTTTTTTTTTTTTTTTTTTTTTTTTTTTGTCTCTCCAGAACCATTGATTTTTCTACAAGCTTCCCTGTTTCATATTTTACAGCTGAATAAAATCCTATTGTGTATACGTACCATGTTTTCATTATCTATTCATTATTCATTTAGGCTGGTTCCATTTCCTTGCTGTTGGGAGTAGTGCAGTAATAGCATGAATGTACAAGTGTCTCTGAGGTAGGATATGCAATCATTTGGATATATGTCTGAGAGTTACAGTACAGTTGGGTCATACAATAGTTCTTCATTCAAATACTTTGAGAAACTTCCATGTTTATTTCCATAACGGCCACACTTGTTCGAACCCCCACCAGAAGTGATAAAGGTTTCCCCTTTCCCTGCATCCTTCTGTGTATCTGTTGTGAGATAGCTTGATGAGAGCCATTCTGACTAGGATGAGAGGGTATCTCAGAGTAGCTTTAATTTGCAATTCCCTGATGACCAAGGATATTGAACACTTTTTAGAAGACCGGTTGGCCATTTGTGTTTCTTCTTTTGAGAACCGTTCATTTAATAGCCTTCTTACTGATTGGCAGGTTTTTAGCTCTTTAGTTCTCGCTCTGTAAATTCTGATATTGGCCCCCTCTGTGAAGGATCGCTGTTACAGATCTTCTCCCGTCCTGTAGGCTGGCTGTTCCTCGGCTGGTGGTTTCTCTTTGCTGTACAGAAACTTTTAACGGTCTGCAGTTCCATCTGTTGAGTCTTGGAGCTGCTTCTTGCACTATTAGGGATCTGTTCAGAAAGTCCCTACCTCAGCTTTTATCTTGAAACGTACCCCCTATATTTCCCTCTAACAATTTCAGTGTTTTACCTTTGAAATCAAGGTCTTCGATCCACTTCTAGCCGAATTTTGTTGCGGGTTAGTGAAATGGATCTGAAGATTCTACAGGAAGATACCCGGTCTGCCGATCACCACTCTTTTGAACAGGCCGTCTTTCTTTCTTTCTTTCTTTTTTTTTTAGCTGCATATGTTGGCACCCTTGCTGGTTTCTTTGTTCTGCTCCACTGGCCTCCCAGTCTCCTGTGTCCTCTGTGTGTGTCACTGGGTCTCTGTAGTACGGTTTGAAGTCATAACCACAACCTCAGCTATGCCCTCCTTCCTAGGATTGTATGGCCATTTGTAGTCTTCTGTAGTTCCCTGTGGACTCTCAGATTGTTCTTTTCTAGTTCTTTGAAGAACAGCCTCAGGTTTTGATGGGAGTCGCATTGAATCTGTAAATTACTTTTTGATAATACAGACATTTTCATGATACTAATTTCATCACGCCAAGAATATGGAATGGTCTTTCCATCGTCCAGCATTTTCTTTGGTGTCCTTTGTCAGTGTTTTGAAGTTTTCATTGTTGATGTTTTTCACTCTCTTGATTAGTTGTATTCCTAACCATATTGAACGACAGAGTGACATATTTTTCCTAATTTCTTTCTCTCTGAGTTCACTGTGGGAATTTGTTAAGGCTACTGATTTTTTGTATATTTATTTTGTACCTTACAACTTTACTAAAAGTGTTTATTAAATCTAACAATTTTATGATAGATTCTATAAGGCCTTTCAAATATAGCTTCATGCCATCTGCAAATGGGGATAGATTGACCTCTTCCTTTCCTGTGTTTATTCCTTTCGTGTCTTTCTCCTGTCTCATTGCCAAAACTTCTAGCACCACATTGAATTAGAACAGTGAAGTGGGTATCACTGTCTCATTCCTGATTTTAGAGAAAAATGCTCTCAATTGTTCCCTGTTTACTATAATGTTGGTTCTAGGTTTGTATATGTGCCATATACATACATATATATTCTTTTATTCTTAATATCTCCAGGACTTTTTACCGTGAAAGCATGCTAAAGTTAGATATCTTTCTGTGTCTTTTGACATGATGATATAATCACCGCCCTTAAGTTTACTTATATACTGTACACTTACTGATTTATGTGTGTTGAACCACCCTTGCATCCCTTGGATGAAGCCCACATGGTCATGATGTAGGAGCTTCTTAATGTGTTCTTGAATTTCAGAAATCTGAAGTTTTGTATTTAAGTTCCTCAGGGAAATATCTCTGTAATTTTCTTTCTTTCTTTTTTCTTTTTTTTATGTCTTTGATACCAGAATAATAATGACTCTGTAGGATGAATTTAGCAGTGTTCCTTCCCTTTCTATTCTGTGGAACAAATTGAGGACTGTTGGAATTAGATCTTCCTTGAAAATTGATAGAATTCAGCAGTGACCCCAAGTTATCCTGGGCTTTTCTTTGTAGGGAGACTTTTGATTACAGTTTCAATCTCATTACTTGTAATGGGTCTATTTAAGTTACTTATATCTTCTGTCTCTAATCTTGACAGATAACAGGCATTTAGAAATTCATCTATTTCTTTTAGATTTTTCTAGATTTTGGAGTATATGTTCTCAAAACATTCTTTAATGATGTTCTGGATTTCACTAGAATCTGTTTTAATATCTTTCCCCTGTCTAATTTGGTTGATATGGATCTGCTCCCTCTTCATTTTTTTCAGTCTAGCTAGAGGTTTATCAATTTCACTAACTTTTTCAAAGACCCACGACTTTGATTGACATTGGATATTGCTCTTTTAATCCCTATATCATTACTTTCTTCCACAATCTTCCTTATTTTCTGCCATCTTTGTGTTTG